AGCTAGATTAGTATTTCATTTTTAGATAAAGTAATAGAAATAGAGCTTGATTAAATATTAGTATACTTTAATTTGCAAAGATAATATAAACTTCGAAGAAATTTTTGCTAAAAACTAAACTTATAGCTTCATAAATTAATATTATAAAGAATTTTACTTTAAAAAGAACTTTTTAAACAATTTCTTTTTTTTTTAAAAAAATATAATTTTAAAAATTTACATCGAAATAAATTTATCTAATATATATAGCGTGTAAATTTTGTTAGGATATATAAATATTCCATATTAATAATCTGTGATTTTTGTTAATATATTATAGATGCATTTAACTATTATTGACATATTTCTTTATAAATAATAGAAGAATCCTAAACTTATATCTATTGACATATTTTGCGTGAATAAGTTGGAAGATGTAGGGTAATTTACCAAAACCAAATTGTTAAGTGTATCTTTGTTATTATAGATATGATTTTTCATAAGATATGTATAATAATGATAAAATTATTAGAGAGTTAATGTAACATAACTTTCTAGTAATAGTCCATTTTTAAAAAAATCACACATGAAGTCAAGTTATGACTTCTGTTTTAATATATAAGATGATGAAACCACAACCAATGACTAATACATAATCAGAAAATTGTAAGAAAAAATAAAAACTAACAAGATATAACAAACACATTATTGAAATACATAAAATAATCCATAATACATAATTTCAAGAAGAAATATGAGAAATTCATAAGAACAACAAATAGAAGAATTCATTTATGATATTGCTTTTACGTTGTACCAAACCAAGTTGAAAGAAGAAAAAAAGTGTATCTCAAATTTTTTGTTTCATTAAACTCAAGTTAAAAATATTAAACAGAAATTATTAAAATAAAAACAACAAAAAACTAATATTAATTAACATTTAGATTCACAACTAGTTTGAAAACTAATAAAATAATAACTGTGAATGAATGTCAAGACAACTAAAAGATTGTAAAAGAAAAATGATAAAAAGGCAAATCCAAACTATTGTATTCAATCAAATATCTAGAATACACCCAATTTAGTATTCAAAGAATAAAGAGATACAATGTAACAAATAAAAATACATATAATGTTCAAATTTTAAAAACAAACAAATTATAAATCACATGAAGAAAAAACACTATAAGATAAATCAAATGAAAATATTTAAACAGAATATACATTACTCGTGTTTCAATTTCCGTGTTGAAGAAATTGGTCAATTACATAAGATAATGAGGTTTTATTTTTTAATCAAATCAACACAATACTAATAAATTACACTAATTAAAATGAGGCAATATAAAGAATTTGTTTGATAGAAAAATTTAAACAACCCACATCAATATAAAAACAATTGTTAAGCAGTAAAATAAAAAATAAATAAAATATTTTTCTCAAAACGAGTAATGTAATACAAAATAATGCCAACGAAAACAACGATAATAGAAACAACATTATATTGAAGTATTCACACTGTGAAAAAATAACCCATTATATTTTAACATTATATTGTGAAATTTAATTAAACACAACGAAATTAAAGTTCAATATCATAACATCAAACCGTTTTAACCATAAAGTTGATAACCATAATAAGAAAAATCAAAGAAATAAAGATTTAAAATAATATATAGTAAACTTTTTAATAAAAACATAAAATTTTCAAAATATCTGAAGTTTCATAGTGTTTTGTAATTTAAAAACTCTATGTACATTATTTGTATAGTTAAAATAAAATAAACATTAAGAAAAACTAAATATTTATATTTTTAATTTTTTGTAATAATTAAACAAATTAAAAATTTCTAAAATTAGTTTTAAAATACATAGATAAAATTATTGTAAAACAGTTATGAACCTTTAGTGAAAAGTAAATTTTAAATAAAATTATATTATTAATTTATTTATTTGTCCGCCTTTAAGGAAAGTTTATCCTAGTTTATATAAAATATAAGATTACGAATTTAAATGAGAAAAAAAAAACTCAAAAATATATTTCGAACTCCACTTATGAACGCGTTAATGGGTACTACATGGCCCATTAAAGCCTAATTGGGTGGTGGAATAATAAACAGAACCTTGTGACCTGACCCGAACCCGTACACCCGACTGGATCTTCTCTTCTCGCCGCCCAGTCTCTCGATCGAATTTGAGCGTTTCTTCTTTTGAGGTACACGGCGATCCGACCAATCCCTCAAAAACCACGACAATGGAAGGCGATCAAGACACATCAGATTTCACGTTGGTCACAAGAAAGCCATGCTTCGGTCTCCCAACAGCTTGCCCTAACTGCCTTCCCGCTTACATATACCTCAAACTATCTCACCTTCCTTTTCAACTTGCCTTCAATTCCACCTTCCCTGATTCAGGTATCAACTCCGTGTGAAGTGTAATTGAATCAAAGATTCGTATCCGTACCCTTAGGCTCTTCTTGCTCGTTGCTGTTAATTAGAGTTTAATTAGGGTTTTTAAAAGCTATTTTAATTGCTGTTTTAGGTTTAAGGGATTCGTTTTTATCCGAAAGATACCCTTAAGCTATTGCTCGTTGGTTACTTACTCATAGTTTCAATAGGGTTTGAGGTTTAAAGGAGAATGCATTGGTGAATTACAATCTGGATAATGAAAGTTACATACTTTGGAGATTTGTGATTAGTTGTGTTATATCATTTGTATTTTTTTTTGTTTGTAGAAGAACTGCCATACTTTGAAAGTGGGACATATGTTGCTTACAACAATGAAGATGGAGGGGTGATTGAGAAACTGAAGAAAGATGGGATTGTTAATCTTGACTCTCAGCTCCACTCTCTTCCGGAGTATATCTCCTTGAAGGCTCTTATTGTATCATGGCTGCAAGAAGCGCTTACGTACGAGATATGGGTTGGTACCGAGGGAATATCTGCTTCTAAGATCTACTACTCAGATCTTCCTTGGGTGATCAGCAAGGTCCTGTTTTATAAGCAGACGTATTTGGCCAAGAACCGTTTAGGACTCACCAAGGAAAACGCTGAGAGAAGAGAGAAACTGGTACTTTTGTGTGCTAATTTAGAACACATGTGGTTTATGAACATTTGAAAACTTGCTACTTATAGTTGAAGGGTCTTAAATGAACAGATATACAAGAGGGCAAGTGAGGCGTATGAAGCTTTGTCGACTAGGTTAGGCGAGCAGAAGTTTCTCTTTGAGGATAGGTATTACTGCAATCAATCACATTTACCTAACTTTATTTGTATCCTTTACATAAGATTCACCATGTTTTTTCTTTTGCTCAAACAGGCCGTCGAGTTTGGATGCTTTCTTTCTCTCACACATACTTTTTACCATCCAAGTATTACCGGTAAGCAGCTTTACAAAACTCCACCACTATACTTTTCAGCTTTATCAGGTAGAATCTAGGCCTCCTTAGCACATAGTTTCTTTCTGGGGCATGATCAGGAAACATCAGTGCTTCGGAGCAAACTTCTGGAACATAGTAATCTTGTGAAATATGCTGAGAAACTCAAGTCAGAGTTCATTGAAGCGTCTTCATCATCTCCTTCTCCTCCGCTTCACTCATTCCCTTCCTCATTTTCAGGAAAGAGTAAGACAACCAAACCTTACGATTTTTATACTCTCTCATTATGCATCTCATATACACAACAGATTTTGATATGTCTAACTCTGTGGAGCAAATGAATCTTATCTGTTGTTCAGGTTCGAAGCCAAAGAGCAAACCAAAGGCAGAGAAGACTGAAGAGGAGAAAAAGTTCAAGAAGAGAGCAAGATTCTTTCTTGCTGCTCAGTTTCTCGCGGTTGTTATTTACGTATCCGTGATGGGAGGCGTTAGTTCCGATGAAATGGAATATGAAGATGATGATTAGTAACTATCAGGCAAAGTCTTTACCCTCTTCTTTGTAGACTCGTTGACAAAAACAAACCAGTCATTTCTCTCTTTTTGGCTCTGAAAGAGATTCTATTGGCTTTTGTGTTAAATTAATTGGTTTTAAGACAATGTATGAGCAGATTGCCACCTCAATAATGAAATTGGAAGACTCTTTGTTGTTCATCCTCAATATCAACTGAACTAACTCTATTTGTCTTACTAATAAAATGCAAATCTCATCCATCTAAAAACTATATTTTGATAGCAAAAGATGATAGCCAGAGACCTAACCTCATTTCTAAACTCTCTATTCTCTAACACCAAACAAAATAACAGTTAGGTACTGAAATTTACATGTGGACGTTGTTGCCCTGATGTGGCGTCAGTAGCGTCCTCTGGTAGGTTAATAAGCTTTGAGTGTTCATCAGCCGAGTTGATAGCAAACTCAGCTAGTGAGCTCACTGCAACAGACATCCCATGGCACAAAACTTTAACAGCAACCTCTGCAAGTTTCTCAGCAGTCATTACAACATCTTCATCAGCCAACACTACTAGGTCCAAGCCTTCTGACCCGGAATATCTCCTTGACCCGCTTCCGCTCCAACTCGGGTCTTCCCTAACCTGTCTTGCATATACTGAACTCATCCCGGAGGCAAAGAACTCGAGTTTGTCCAAAACCAGCTTCACGTCCAAGCTGTTAAGTATCTTTGACCATTGGATGCAAAGTCGGTATATAGGGTGAGGACATGAGGATAATCTAACTTTCTCAGGGTCAGGATCACATCTGAGACATCTGAGAAGCCAACCAGACAATGCTGTCATGTAGGATCTTTGGGACGTGATCCAGAACTCAAAGCAGGCTCTCCAGTTTCGAATCTGAGCTTCAAGATTTAAAGCAGACTGAGGTAATCTTTGAGAGTTGATGGTCTCTGGCATTACTGGAGGGTGTTGTCTCTTCTTCTGACGCTTTGAAACCGGTGTCCCTGCAAGTAACATTTTGGCCTCGTCTAGTGTTCGTTTCTGTATCTCATGACTTTCTGCCATCACTTGCCACATCCTTGTTAATCTGTTGCGATCATGACCACACCATTTTGTCAGTCTTGAGGACGGTTAATAAAGAGAAACCAAAGAGGAAGAAGTTGTTGGTGTTACCCTTGAACAAGCTCGAGAAGCTGAGGCAACAGTTCTTGATCACGAAGAGTCTCGATCCTTTTGGAGATGGATTCAATAGAATGTATAGAGACCTTTATCTGTGTGTCTAAGTCTCTTATTGTAGCCCTTGTTTTATCAACCGAAGACGGATCATCTCCTTTAACATCTTGATTCCTGAGCTGCATACATTTCTTCTCGTATGCTCTTCTAACACGTTCTCCAGACTGTTACATGACCAGAAAAGTCTTTTTATCTTTAAATAGGAGAGACATAAACTGTGATTCCGGAAGCTACTACTACCTTAACTTCATCGTAGAGTTTCTTCTCCCACGCAAAAAGTTTGTCCAATGTTGTTTGGTGGCTACCTGAAACCATGCAAGATTCATCTGAAACATCGCTTCTAGTTTCAGAACCACCAGAAGAAGTGAGCAAGAATCTTGACGAAGAAGATCTTGATGATCCAGAGCGAAACAAAGCTACAGGATTCAGCTTCTTCATGGCTACAAACACACAAAACACTTCCAAGTCAGTCACAAACATAGAGAGATTGCAACTTTTTCTCATGGACTTACCACTATGATCATTAGGAGATGTTGTGTACTGAGCTCTGTTAGCTTCCAAAAGCCCCGAGACTTCCTTAGCCGCATCACAAATAGTTGTGAACTCATCTTCAAGATCTTTGATTACCTCTGCCATGCTCGTTGGTCTCCTGTTCACATACACCGTGAAACCTGGCGTATCTCTTTTAGCAACATTAACAACATTCTTCACCTCTTCAACGTTCCCAACTCCAACCACATTATCTGTAGTTTCTACTTTAGGCACCTCAACGGTTCGCTGTTCTTGCGTTCCGACGCATTTCTCATCATCTCCTTCTTTCTCACTTTCACAACCACTATCCGTAAACTCCCCATCATCATCCTCATCATCACTCTCATCAACATCTTCAACTTTAACTTCCTCATTGCAACAACTCTTATCAACATTACTACCTCTACTTGCTTCGTTTGATTTCAAGTTATGATGATTCTGAAACCTCGGAGGTTGAGGTTCATCATCTTCCTCCAAATCTGGAATCCCTTCTTCCTCTCGAACACGTCTCAATCCTCTAATCTCATCATCCATGGCACCACTCTTATCAACACTTGCCCTATCATAATTATAACCATAATAATCCAACGAAGAGAAAGGATTCCAGAAGAAGTCCCACTGAGAAGTCTGCGGTGAAGGAGGTGGAATGTTATGAGTGCTTAACCTTTGCTCAGGAGAGCTCAACGGGTTCCAAAACGAAGAAGAAGAAGCTGCAGAAGTGTTCATGTTCATATTCATCCCAAAGAAACCATCTGCTTCTTCTCTGTATTGGTGACTCGGTGAAAATGACTCAACAGGAAACGTATCAGGGGATCTCTGCACTACACGAACCGTTCTGCTTCTATTAGCCATCAAGTAGTTTGCTCTTACCTTCGTTCTTGGCTTATCTTGAATCATTTTGGGACGCATAGAAGAAGGTGAAATGGTTATGAACTCACCGCCGCTTCTACGGCGGTTGCTCGGTGGTATTCTCTTAACCGGAGTCACCTCAAATGGAACGAACTCGTGAGGCTTGTTGTCTCCTTGGATAAAGTCATTGAGAGCATCAGAGACTTGTCTAAGTGAATGGATATAAGCAATGTGGGCAGAAGCGAAGTTGGTTCTTTGTTGTATGGCTTGTTTGATGAAACGTTTCCTGTCTTTACAGATCTGAACAGCTTCTTCGTCTTCTAACTTGGAATGAGAACATCCCATTTCTCTCTCCACTCTAAACCTTATTCAAGAACATCTAAAACCCATGCACTGTTTTTTGCTAATTTCCTATAAAAAATGTGAAATTACTCAAAACTGACAGGAAAAAAGAAAACTCAAACGAAAAACAGTGAAAAATCTTTGACTTGTTCTAGTGAGTTGTTAAAAATGTAATGAACAAAACCCAGAAAAGAAGTTTTTAGAGAGAGAGAGAGGACAAAAAAAAACTAATAGGGTATTTACGTTAGGTCAAAAAGAAATTGGGGGAGCAAGCAAGCGTGAAGATTTTCTGTTGAGAAGAGATTTTCGAGAAAGCAATGGTCGATACTACTGTCAGAGACAGGAGACGAGTCAAAAAAGAAGGAGAAGAAAAGCAAAACTTAAATAACATATATATATATATATATATGTAAAATACTACTCCACTAATAATAAAATAAAAAGGAAAAAAAATGTAAATGGAAAAAGCTACGACGAATAATAAAAAGCTGCACGGATTACGACTTCATATTTTGTCCTTTTACCCTCCCATTTACATTTATTATCGATATTGCCACTACGTTGAAAGAAGCTTCTTCGTATCTACTCTATTAAAATAGAGTCACTATTTTTATGTACTACAAAAAGTCATATGAAACCATTTCATTAATTACTTAATATGACATATTAAAATATTTAGGTTAAACAATCAAATATATATCATATATGCTGAAAATAATAGATTTACATTTTATTTTTAGTTATAACAGAATCGGTTGAGAGAAAATCTAACAAAATCTTACTAAAATTTTAAATATTTTTTTATTAAATAACATAATAATGAATTTCATAGTTAAGAATATCATACTATTATACATTAATATTAATTAAAATTTCACTATAATAACAAAAAAAGAATCATATAGTATTTTATAAATTTCATATAGTCTATGTTATATTAAAATAGAATTGCACTATGAATAAAATAAAATAAATAAAATTGGTAAATGAAACTTTATTTTAAAATTTATTTCACTTAAAAAGAAAAATATTCACCATTAAAAGGATGAACATCATAAATTATGTATATTTTGTATACAAAAATGTTAGCATAATGTTAAATTTTTACCATATCTTATTTTTTACTTAATTTAAAACTCACAAAACATATCATCTAAAATGATTATATAAAAAATATAATAGTATATAACTAAATTTTAATTCATGTGTTATTTAAAAAAGATAGGATAACAGAAAGTCTTACTAATTCAGAAGATATCAATGAAAAATATTTTTAACTGAAAATTTAATATTTTTATTATAAAATAATATGTTGAGAAAATATAAAAATATTTTATTTTAATAATGTTGAATAACAAAGTAAAAAAAATTAAAGAATATTATATATTAATAATGTTGAATAAGAACCTACACTAATTAGATTATAAATTTACACAATATATAACATAAAAATATAAATTATATATTTAAAATATTTACATTAATATTAAGTAAATTTTTAAAAATGAAAAATATACCCGCACGAACGTGCAGGTAAAAACTCTAGTGGGTAGTGGGTAGTATAGCAACGCACGGGTCTTTACGTAACTTCATTAGTTTCTGCAGTGGGAAAATACGTGGAAAGAATTTAGAAAAAGAGATAAAAAGAAAAGACCGGCCTGTAAAGTAAAAGGCAGGATTTGTACCACATGATAAAAATATATCATGAAGTGTCTGTATACCTACGATTCCTCTTTCTGCCCCTAATTGTTTCGTCTAATCACGAAAACACCATCAGGTTTAGATGTAGTATAGTAGTTTAGTAGTCCAACAATCTTTCTTTACTGGGCTAGCGTCTGGATCAGTATCTAATATTATCGCAGTGTTTGTGTTTATGTAATCAAAATCTTAACAAGAACAATCCAATTCTTATTAATAGCTCAAAGAAACTCTTTCAAAACTTAAACTCTCACAAGATCTCTCTCAAACTTATAAGTTCATGGCACAACTTACCATCTTCTTATATAGAGATACTAGGGTCGGCCCGTGCTTCGCACGGTATGTTGTTTTTGTTCTTATTCGAGATAACTATTTTTCGGAGATTTGATAAAAAAAAAAACTATTTTCTTGAGATCAAAGGTCTAATTAATTTGTATGACAGAATATGCTGGGGGACAATTTTGCTATATAAGGTCATCTTGGCTGAAGTATTATACTTACAGAAAGATTCATGCTAGAGATCAAATATCTAAAGACTACCTTTAGTCTCTTAACCAATTTAACCCCTTTTGAGTATGTTAAGCCTTGACTGCAGCATTAAAGATACTGACCACTTTTATTCAAGGAGTTCATGAAGAAAAAATTGAATCAATATTAAAAGTTAAAAAAAAAACTAACAATTTACAGAGAGAGTTCACTAAATCCTTTCAGCATGGGGGGGGGGGAACTACAATTACCTATAAGAACCTTCTCATGGAAATCGAAATAGTTTTAGGGTTTAATGTCCTTCTCAGCAACCTTTAACACATTGCTATATTGATCCTCTAAACCACAAACACAACAAAGCTGAGTGGTAAGCAAATCATACCAAGTATTTTGCTTATATGGCCTGAGCCTGGCCTTCTTATCAGCTTCCTCATCAACCTAGTATACTCTCTTTCTTTCCTCTGCAAATCCTCAAAAGTTTGAGTTATTTTTTCTTTGATACATCTAAAATGCTATCTTTTGTTCTAGCACCAAACGCTTGTAACTAAAAAAAGGGGAAAAAACAATTCAGTTGACAACTTACTTTTTTACAGGAAAAAACATTACAACTCCAAAAAAATACCATTATTTAAAACAACAAATGTTCGTAAAATTCTGCAAAACACCACTTTACTATTCTCTAAAGAATATCAAAAAATAAATGATATGCAGAAGGACCTCTCTTTACTCTGTTGGTTGTGTTTCATGCCATGTGTTTGTTGTAATGGTTCTCGTTATACTTCTTAGTAGCAGCAACTTTCTCCATTATTAAACTCGAAAACAACCCTTCATCCTCTGCAGCCTCCGATGTCGGAAATAACTTCATCTTCTCAACCAACTCCTCCTCCTGATCCGTTTCACAATTCTCGTTCTTTTATCTTCAAGAATAAAAAGACATTTTTTCCCTCCTCCATTGAATGATTTGGATCCATTCTTGGCGTCGTTGATCCGTCATCGTTCCACCCTGATGTCATCCCCACTTTTTTAGTCTTTCCTTCTTGAAGGTGATTTCAAGCCGGAATTTTTCCTCTGATGATACTTCTCCGGACATAGAAATAATAAAGACAAACCTTATCACATACTGGGAGCGTTCCTGTAGCAGCTTCAGTCGGGGCATTAATCTTCTCCCTTCTTGCCTATAATCCGAACATTAGTAATGAATTAGCGATTAATCAATTGATTAAAACCCAAAAAAGTGTTGTAAAAATCTGTGAGATGTTAAGTTACTTGTTATGCTAAGCTATGGCTATATGTTGCTTTACCACGGCAAGCTCTAACATGAACATATGAAAGCTTCTTGTCCTCTCCAGATATTTTGTTCTTCTTCCTTGAAACTTTAACCTATAAATATTGTTAAGGATATGTTTCATGGATTCATCAATCACTGGCTTGTTCAAATGTTAACAAAACATAACACTTGTCTAACCTTCTTCTCTTGTTCTTTTATCTTGATCAGAAACAAAGGACACCAGGTTCGGTTTTGAGTCTATCCATATTAGAATTGGAGTAGAAGGTAGTTCGTAGTAGTCTCACCGGAGACGTTTAGTTTTACTGCTGCGTATCAGCAATCACCGAGAAGAGAAGCGAGCTGTGCCGGACCTTGAGAGTAAAGAGCCTTGTATTATCTCGGACCTTTGAAGGAGACGATTGTGGCGGTTAGGGTTAGGAGCCGACTCGAAGTCGGCATTGCTGGGGCCGTAGGACGCCTCTGCGAAAGGCCTCTTTGACGGAACTGGTGATGGAACAGCGCTGGACTTGGTCACTCCGGCTCCGAAGAAATCCCGACATCCGGATCTGTTTGACATCCGGAGTTTGTCTGGTCTTCTTTCCCTCAGCCCTACTCTTTCCGTTTTGTGATCTGAGTAACCTATCTTCACCGGCGTATGTAATTGCTTTTCGATATGCCCATTTTCGGATGATAATGAATTTAAACTATTTAAAAAATACCTCTTTCTATTTTACATAAGGATGTCGACGGTTGCCATTTCATGAAGACGGTGGTGGTAACAGCCCAAATTTATTTCACCGAAGCCCAAGTTATTGATCAGTTAAAGCCCTATACAAATGAAAACAACGTAACTTTTAAAAAACTTTACACGTGGTAAGCTCTTATCTCACTAATTAGTGACATGACACTCTAAAATTAGAGAAAACCTTACTTTATAGTAATAGATAATTTCCTAAAACACTTTGGTAACCTATTTCCTTTTTTCAATACTAATAGGATTAGTATAACTTGGGCTTCAAGTTATCTTCAAATTGATCTCTAACATCCACCCCCTTAAACTTGAAGTATATGTTCTTCACTTATTGAACTCCAATAAGATCTCGTGTCTCTTTGAACTTAATTCTTCGAAGCGCCTTGGTTAGTATATCTGCCCTTTGCTTAGTTCCAGGCACGTGAAGCTATTTGTTCATTCTCAATGCACTCCCGAATAAAATGATATCTCTTGTGTATATACTTACTTCTTCCATGGAATACTAGATTCTTCGTCAATGCAATCGCTGATTTGTTATCAATGTAGATAGCTGTTTTCTGGTGTTTTTGTTTGTTAACTTCCTCAAGCAACTCTTGGAGCCATATCGCTTGTTTGGCTGCTTCAGTGGCTGCCATAAACTCTGCCTCACAGGATGAGAGAGCCAGTCTTTTGTTTCATTGAACACCACGAGATTGGACAATCATTAAGATAGAAGATGTGTCCAGTGGTGCTTCTTCCTTTTTCTTCATCAATATTATGTCCATTGTCAACATAACCTGCAAGCTCTCTCTTACCCGCCTTAATAAATGAAAGACCATGTGATAGAGTTCCCTTTAAATACCTAGTTTTTGGCTGATTGAGATGATGATGATGATGAATTTATGAGAACCCAATCCAAGTTCATTTGTTCCAACTTCCGACACCAACATGTAATGCAGTTTCCTATAAATGTTGTTCCAGCCCATCTTTGCAACAAACAAAAGCAACAAGAAGAAACATAAACAATAATATCCCGATAAGTTTTTAAACATGAAGACGTGGGCCAGTAATTTTTTCCCTTGTTGTTACAGCGTCAGTGGAAGGTAGGACCTACGTAGGTGGCGGTGTGACTAATCCGTGCTCAGGTCCTAATCCTCTTCCAGGATGCAATCCTCCAAACTCTCTTCATACGAATGTTCTTCCAGGTCCTAATCCCGCCAACAACTACATCCGTGGATGCTCCAAAATTACACGCTGCCAACAAGATATATGGGAGATTAACTCAATATACTCCTCTCACTATTAAAATTTTCTCTTTTCTCCTCTTATTAAAATATTATTTAGTATTTATTAGTTTTTAAATAGAAAACGTGGGTCCAGGGTGGTTAAATACTTCAACACCCTTAACAAATCAGAATATTCACAAACCCAACCTCTAATTTGCCCACCCACCCAAAACAAATCGGATCTAACTAATTGTCTCCCCCAAATCCCATCTCTCTTCTCTCTCGTAAAGTAGATAATTTTTTTTTAGAAAGAATAGAAAAAGAGCGAAACTTTTCACAGAATTCTTCAATTTTGCCTTAGATGGAGATGGAGGAGAGTCATAGTTTGAATTTTGTCTGTCTAGCTCATGGATTAATATGTTCATCACAAAATTCTGGGGAAGTCGACGAAATCATCAGGGAGGAGAGATCAAAATCTGCAGCTTAGAACCTTGGGACTTGTGTGTGTCTGGTTCGGTTTTCAAAATCAGTGTTCATGGGCATAATGCATCTGCAAGAAAATCAGGGGAGAATCCAAGAGAGGAGTGATGATGAAACGCCAGAGAATTCTAGGAGGTGTGTGTGTCTTTGGTTCGGTTTTTAAATTGATTATTAGTTTGGTCTTGACGAAAATCAGCGATGAGTGCGATATATTTATTTTGGATATCTGCATCTTCAGTTGTGGCGGGGGGAAAAGCGGAGCCGCCGACGCCTCTGAAAATAATGATATCAGGAGCTCCTGCTTAGGGTAAGTTTCTTTCCTCTTGCTCCACCTCTCTTCAATATGAATTTGAATGTAGTATGATTGTTCTTGACTTGTAACGTAATGGTAAAGCGTCTCTGCGTTTCACTTCAACAATATTAGCAACATGGGGTAAGAGAATTGGAAAGCTTGAGCTTAGTGGTTGTGAAGGTAGCAGGATTAAAGCCATTGGCAAATGTTGTGATCACATACCTGCTGAGAATCTCGTCTTGTAAGAAAGGTGGATCCTTGTACTGGACCAGAGAAGTTGAAGTTGATGAGGTCTTGTCCAGCACTCGAGAGTTTGCAACTCAAAAAGTGTTGGTTGAATGATAAAGAAGGGATGGGAGCTTCTTGGGGCATGATCCCGAAGGTGTATTTTTTGCAGTGCAAGAGGAGTCTTGTCACGGTTCTGTAACCTGAGCAATCACAAGAAAGCTCTCAGATTCACTCTTGGTCATTGAGTAGATAAGCAAGGGTGCAGAATAGAGTGAAGATCACATACTCTTTATCAGCAAGGTCTCATATACAATGTTAGCCCAAGATAAGTATGATAAGGTGTATATTTGGACAAAATCGATAGAATAAATTAAATTTGATGGTTTTGTGTTCTTGGATCACACTTAGCTGCTAATTTCAGTTAGGAATTAATGTGTCCACTAAACACGGTAGTTTCGCTTCACTTACATTTCAAGTATTTCATCTCAAAACCTATGTGTTGCATCACAACCATGGGTTAGCAGATTTGTCTTGGAATAAAAAACATGTTCTGTAATTTTTTAGTTATGCTTCTCTTTGATGCTTTGGGAACAGCTACCATTAGGAAGGAATATATGGTGGTGTCGTTAAAGAAGAGAAAGAGAGGAAGACGGATGAGATCGTTGGGTGTTCTAGTTTGCTATGTTTGTTGTAAAACAGTTTGATCTTGTGTATGAACTTGTTATTTTTAGTATCTATGTTTTGAAACAAATTTTAATAAACAGAAGATTTATTTTAAAAATGGATAAATAAGTTTTGACCATTGTATAAAATGATATCATTGAGAAAAATTATGATTGATTTTTATTGTGATATTTGGAAAACCAAAGTAACATACTTGATATATATACGTAAAGAGCTCGTGACTTTATTACTAGATTTTATTAAGGGACTATTGTATCAAGAACTTGAGACAATTTAAGATTTGAACTCATCTAAATTTGAGATCTGAGTAAATCTTTGAAAACATTTGTACAAATTTAAGGGGTTTTGAAGAAATTTCAGAGTTTTGAAAGTTTTTGCAATTTTAAATATTTATTTAAAATAATATTTTTATTTTTAGTTACCATAAAATAATATTTACTTTAATTACTATAATTTTAAAAGTTTTTTTTTCTACACACACATTCTATTTATCAGTACACAATAAAAAATATATACCAAAAACTAGTAAACACATATAAAACGTGCAGAATACATATATATATATATATATTATTAAAACAATTAAAAAAATACATTTCACATGCAAAACGTGCAGCCGTCATACAAAAATTTAATATTATATTTAAAACTTAGTAATGCCTATAGTAATCTTCAAGGTAGTAGTAATACTATCATACACATAGTAATATTTTGACAATTTTTACGTATATCTAGTAAAACCATCTCAAGAAAGAAGGTTTGGTAGTAAAACTAATAATTTTATCCTATTATTATCGTTATAGAAGAGATTTACATAAACAGTTTACCATAATTACGTATTTTGTTAATTCTCTTTAATATATGCTAACCTTTCACATACTAACAATGAAAGCTAAGGAAGATTTTTGAGAAAAACGTTAAGATTATTGTAAGCTATTGAAAATAATCATCAAAATAGTTTAATCTATATATATATATATATATATATATATATATTATATTTAGCCTAAGAATTGAAAATAATCATATAAAATACGAGGATAAAAAATTTACCTAGTGATATATAAATATTGGTTTTGAATTTCACATAATAATACAAGTAATACCTAGTAGTCCAAGTTGCACATAATAATTCCAGTAATCCGTAGTAATCCAAATTGCACATAATAAAACCAGTGAAACTTAGTTGTCCCAATTACGAATAAGAATACTAGTACAAACCACAAATCTCTCTATCTGATAGACCACCATAAAAATCAGTGTCATAATCCGTTTTGTAAAACTCCACATGTAGAACACTTCTACAATTCTCTTGATTTACTTGCATTAGATAACCGAAAACGTCTTCATCCTCCCAGATATATGATGGCTTGTTCGAATACATTACCACCGGAAAGTAACTAATCTTCGCTTTCGTTTTATACTCATCTACCTTTATCTTTCTGCAAATACGCTCAACCAAAACAGAGCGTGTGATCTCCTCCACTGATTTCTTCAACACAATAGTGTGAATTTCATCTCCCCCTTCACCATCTCCCGAAATTCATTTCGTTTCAGCCCCATCTTTAATGTAATATCCTCCATAATCAAAACAAATGATTGTACAATGCGGATTTTGCATTTTCCTGAAATAATAACGACAATTAGCATTATTTAAAAGTTTAAATTTAATTTCCACACTGTACACTCTTACTAAGACTAATTTTTTCAATACTAAATACACAGTAAAGCCAATAATACTAGTAATATTTGTAAGCATAATAATACCAGTATTATCAGTAATACTTCTTTTCCTCAGTAAAACTGGGTATCTTAGTAATACCCATAAATTATCTTTGCACTAATTAATCAACTTTTTAGTCCGTTTTTGTTTGGATTTTTCATTATCTATGATATATACTTCATATTAATGACATTACACCCAAGAAATCATCAAAACAGGCTCAAAATGTATTTAAAATATACCCTAAAACCCATAAATAAAGTTTACAAAATCCTTTTAAATCTCTTAAAATTTTCATTCAATCTTTCTTTTGTTACACAAGCCGACATATACACTTATCTTTATAAGTTTTCCAGTAAAAATTTCATCAAAACGGACATAAATTATACCCGAAATCCATATACACAGTTTTATAAATCGTTTTTTCTCTCTCAAATTTTCATCAATTCTTACTTTTTTTGGTTACCCATGGTATACAAAAATATTTAAAAGACATTTCACACAAAATTTCCATGAAAAGCGGACAAGATTTACCTGATTTTAAGCTCCAAAATCGTCAAAGGAGGGTGGGAAAGAAGCTCTACGCAGGAGAGAGAGAAGACTGGAAATTCTATTGGTTAAGGTTGCTTGGGGTCCCCATTTGGTTGTTGTGTGTTGGTTGGGTAATTTAATTGAAAATTTAAATGAATTATTGAGGTGGAGAATAAATATATTAAAGAAAGAAAGGTTAATATGGGGAATTCAAACACAAAGGAGTAGTGAGAATAGAGAGGGGATATGAAGAATGGTTTTTTTCCCATGAGAGTATTTGGAGTTAATCTCCAGATATATGATATAAATTATAAACTCATCATCTGAAGTCAGTTGTATGTATTTGCTTTACAATCAAATTTCAAACTTATATGTGAGATATAGTTATGAAATAACTAAAAAAAATCTATTTTTATGCATTTGGTTTATTAATGTAAATAATTAAATATATCATATTAAATAATTAATCAAATGGCCATATTAAGATTTATCAACAGTCGATAAAAATTAAACTATAAATTAATAGATTAGATTTTTCATTTTTGTCATAAAAAAATCAATGTGAACAGTTCTTTTTTTAGAATATAGTATTACAATAAGTTATAAAAGTTCAAAAAAACTGAGTATGTTATATTTGAGGACCCATCAAAATTAGCTAAAAAACGTAAATGTGTTTATTACACAATCCAAACCGGTTTAAAAATAGAAACTGAAACTAAAAACAAATTATTTTTTTATCTAATTAACTATTATATTTCGGGCTTTGAAAAGCGTATGTAAACATTTAGTTTTATCTTATTATTGAAAGATAAATGTAAAACTAGTATTTAAGTTAAGATATACAATATAATTGAATAATTAATCAATTTATTTTTTATAATATCCATTTTTAAATTCATATATATATATATATATATAGCTTAAATAAGATTAATCCTAAAATAACAAATTTTATTGAAAATATAAGTATATATATTAGCTTATAGTAAATATTCTAATACTTCTTATCAGATGATATTTATATTTTTAACTTAGCTAGGTCTTTATATTTATTTATTTAGTTTGTTAAATAATAGTAAAAAGTATACTATAAACTAGTCTACTAAATCTTGATTAAAAAACTAGTCTATTAAATAATACTTTGAACGCAGTTTAATGTTTAGATTTTTTAGTCAAATGAAAACATAAAGCAAATCCTTGACTATAAACTGATGGATTATTTACAAGATATACGGTGAGCTGATCACAAAATTAATGATAATATTTACTGCGTATAAATGTCGTTCCAGCCCATCTTCACAACAAACAAAATCAACAAGAAGAAACATAAACAATAATATCCCGATAAGTTTTTAAATATGAAGACGTGGGGGATATGCTTGCTAGTAATCTTTTCCCTTGTTGTTACAGTGCCAGTGGAAGGTAGGACCTACGTAGGTGGCGGTGTGACTAATCCGTGCTCAGGTCCTTATCCTCCTCCAGGATGCAATCCTCCAAATTCTCTTCATACGAATGTTCCTCCAGGTCCTAATCCCGCCAACAAATACACCCGTGGATGTTCCAAAATTACACGCTGCCAACGAGATATATGATATAAATTATAAACTCATCATCTAAAGTCAGTCATATGTATTTGCTTTACAGTCAAATTTCTACGCATGTGTAGGAATGATATGATATAAATTATGAACCATTATGGATTAGTGCTAAGGTCATTATACAGAAAATCTATTATATTAAAATATAAATCATGATTCATTTCATATGTAAATTTATATATTTGGAATATCATTAGGAAGTTTTACTAAATATATTTCATTAAAGCTAATGATGAAATATTATAACTATTTTAATCAAAATATCTTTTGATATATTTTCATTTTAAATATAAATATATATTAAAAATTATAACAAATCTGTTGGAAAAGATTTTAGTAAGATCTTATTTTTTAAAAATTATATAAATATTTCACTAATTTTGAATTAGTAATGAAATATAACTATAAAATGATATATATATATATATATATATATATATATATATATATTCAGTCAGATGTACTTTCTTTACAATTATATTTATTCAACATGTGTAGGAATGATGTTGGATAAATTATGAAAAATGGATTAATGCTAAGATAATTATACTGAAAATTAAAGTTACAGTACAAATATTTGTTAAATTAATAATCACTATAAAATAATATATTTGTTTCAGTTCCAAGGCAGATTATTGAAAATTAACAAAATTCGATAAAATGGCAATTTATTTTTTAGAAGTCCTATGCAAATATAGGATCCCAATAATAACATATATTAATAACATAATTTAGATATATATATATATATATATATAATTAAGACAACTTAGTAAAATATGAGTTAATATTTTTTTCTTCTTAAAGTTGGATTCTCTTTAATCTTTTTTGTCGAATTAACACTTCAGAGTATTGTCTTCTCGGTTTATATCCAAAAATTCTGAAGAGTTCTAGAAGCGATATGCACTTCCTGATATGTAGTTACTACCAAAGGTTCCATATTATCATCTACAACTTCATAATCAGCATTGAGGACAATAGTCACAATTTTTTATAAACGCTGAACTTCTAAACATGTATGACTTTCACTTGGGTAGTAGAGTATAATATTGACATCATCCATTTGCTTCTGATAGATAATATTATTAATCAAAGCATCAAATTCATTAATGTCGCTTGATTATTCTTCCAAATTCTTTGATATGACATCTTCCAAATAAAATTTGTTGTTCCGGAAAAAAATTGATATTTTCTCTTGATGAACATCAATATTCTTAGCCGAAGCATAATTGATAACATCTAAAACATTGATCAAATTTTCCCAACTTACAGCCTTTAGTAAAATAAAATAACACTTGTACAAAATATTAGCATAGATTTAAATACGTAAATAACATAGTATAAAGACATTTAAATAAATAAAATATAAAAATTTTGAATTCAAAAGATTGATTATATATAGATAAATAATTAAACTTTCAATTCCTAAAATTATTATTTTGTAGAAAAATTAATGTATATGATATTTGTTGGAATTAATTAAGTGAGTTGATGCTATTTTCAATTTTAACAGTATCCTTAAAACTCATATGTGAGATATAGTTTTTTTGTAACTTATATGTGAGATAGTTATGAAATAATAAAAAAATCTATTTTGTATGCATTTGGTTTATTAATATAAATAATCAAATATATCATATTAAATAATTAATCAAATGGCCCTATTAAGATTTATCAACAGTCGATAAAAATTAAACTCTAAATTAATAGATTAGATTTTTCATTTTTGTCATCAAAAAATAAATGTGAACAGTTATTTTTTAGAATATAGTATTACAATAAGTTATAAAATTTCAAAAAAACTGAGTATGTTATATTTGAGGACCCATCAAAATTATCTAATAAAACGTAAATGTGTTTATTACACAATCCAAACCGGTTTAAAAATAGAAACTGAAACTAAAAACAAATATTTTTTTCTAATTAACTATAATACTTTCGGGCTTTGAAAAGCGTATGTAAACATTTAGTTTTATCTTATTATTGAAAGAGAAATGTAAAACTAATATTTAAGTTAAGATATACAATATCTCTATAATATTATTTGAGAAGTCACTTTCTTAGGTGTCGGGCTACGTTAATTCTCACGCTGGTTGATTACTATGATACCCCTAATGAATTAAAAATATATTTAAATATTATTATTTCCTTTTTAAAATCTTCCAAATAACAATATAAAATAAAAAGGAAATATTTATAAAATTTACAAAACTATTTAAAACAAAAAAATAAGTATATATATAATATGATTTCATAAAAAAGGAAAGTTTACAAAATAGTAATATTTAACTTAAATATATTTTTAAATAACATAAACTATACTTTTTAAGTCATTATACTTTATATCTATATCTTCTTAGATGAAAAAAAATATTTGTATATAATGTGTTTTCATAAAAAATGTTCATATAAATAATCTTGATATTAGAAAAAGAAATATTTTTTCTTAAAAATAATAATTTAAACAATAAAATATATTTCAAAGTAATGAGTTTTTGTATATATGTATCGATTTTATTAGATGTTTACATAAAATAATTAAGTAACATAAATTGATCTCTATAATATTATTTGAAAAGTCAGTTTCCTATGTGTCGCGCTCACGTTAACTTTCACAATGGTTGATTACATAGATACCCTTAATGAACTAAAAATATTATATATATAATTTCCATTATTATTAAAATTTTATTTATTTTATTTTATCTTATCTTTTCTTTATTTTCTTTCCAAATAATATATATAATAAAAGTAAACATTAATTAATGAACTATAAATTTTAAAAACGAAATATGTATAATAAATAAGTTGATTTCATAAAAAAAGAAACTTAACAATAAAAGTTTTATTAAAGGAAAAAAAATAAATTTTTAAACAAAAATATATCACATATATAATTTGATTTCATAAAAAAAGGAAAGTTCACAATAAACATCTTAATATTAGAAATATATTCTTTTTAATACATAATCTTAAATAACATAATATATATTTTTAAAGTAATAATATTATTTTTTTTACATCAAGCTATATTTTCAGATGATCAAAACTAACGTAGATAACATAACATAAATTGAAGTTTCTTTATGAACTAAAAGTATTTTAAAACTAATATTACTAAGTGTTTTACATATGTTTTCCATGGAATTTGTTAACATAAATTTGATTCAAAATTTCTTTGTATTTTTTATTAGACTACATAAATTAAAAATATCTCAAATTATCTAAAGTATATTTATATTTTATTATATACATGATTTCAAAAAAAATAAATATAAAATAAATGTTTGAGTATTTATTTTTAAAAAGTAAATTAATATTTTTCTTATATAAATAATCTCTACAAAAATTTGGTATTTATTTAAAATACTAAACAACATACTTTAAAAATAATCTTAAGCAAGATAACATTATTAGAAAATGTAACTATTTTTTTATAATTGTATTTTAATAAAATAATTTAATAAAATAATTTAATAAAATAATTACATAAATATTTAAAATATTATAAGACAATATATTTTTAGCGAACTATAGATATTTACTTTACTTCTTTTTTCTTAATCTTTAGTTGATTTTAAGTTTTAAATTATATTTTTAACAACCAATCTGAATTCCCAAACTAATATGAATTCTTTTGTTTAAAATTATTAATATAGTTTTTAATTTATCATTTATACATCAAAATATAAATATTTTTTTAAGCAATATATCAGTCATTTTCTTTTATGTTGTCATATTAATCATCAATTTAATTTTTATTGGTTTTGTTAAAATCAACATCAAATATACAAAAAATGAAAATATTACACATCCTAGATAAAGAACGTAACTTCCGCATTAAATAAAACTGATCTTATTTGGTTTAGTTGGAATAAAAATAGATGTATTTATAATTATATTTTTTACATATAAGAATAATTATAGTAATATCAACCAAAAACAAATGCAATATAATATATCCAAATAATAATTAAATCGATTAGATACTATATATCGTAAATCACATGTCAGATTAAAACAACATGATATTATTTATACAAGATCTACATATAAATTATAAAAAAATTTGTAATCAATTAGTATGATTTATCTATGTTGTTGATTTTATATTTGTGCATGAACACGGGAAAATCACCTAATTCAACTTATATCTAAAATCATAAATTTAATTACAATAAGAATATATAGTTTTATAATAATAATAATTTATTTTATAAATAAAAATTATAGGATGACTCAAAACATATTAACAAATGAAAATAAAATATTAACCAACTGTTGCAATCAGTTATTTTGTAAAACTTATATACATGCATGAGACTTCAGAATATTTTCGTTATTTTAGTTTATGTAATTTAGAATTAGACACTTTAGTTTATTTTTATTTCATTCTAAAAACAATATATACTAAGTTATACATAATCTTCCTAAAATAAATTTACGTATCTAACACAACAACTAACTTAAATACAACTAAGAAAATTAAAGTAAATAACAATCAATTTTATAGTATATTTATTTTATGAATATTTATACCCGTGCATGAGCACGGGAAAATCACCTAGTATATGTTTAATTGACAAAAAAACTTATAGTTAGTATATTTATTTGATTATAATATCTTAAAGTTACAGAAAAAATATAAATTATATTTTACTTACATAATATAATTTCTCAAAAACAATCACATTTTTACTGCATATTTTAAGAGATATTAAAAAAAACTAAAAAGAAATTTAATAATAAACATCTTTTGATCAAATAACTACATTTCTTTTAAAATATCATAACACTATATAATTTAATGATATATTAACTCTTTTGATGTTTAATGTTCTGTTTTATGTTTGTGGAATTTAATATAACCAAAATCAAAATACTTAAGCAAATCATAATTCTTTATTTTTAAAATTATTTAAAATAAATTTCAGTTTACCATCCAATCAATCTAAGGCATAAAATATTTAAAATTTATAAAATATTTAATTATTTTAAATATTGATATCTGTTCATAAGTTTCCAAAAAATTTATTATTACTTATGTATGTAATTTAGAATCAGACACTTTAGTTTTTATTTTTTCGTTCTAAGCACAATAAATCTTAAAATACATAATTTTACTAAGATATACTTATATTTCTAAGATAACAACCAACATAAATGTAAATAAAACAATTAATCAAAAATTTAAAATATTTAGAATAAAAAAAATTATAATTGAATTCAGAGAAATATATATAATCCAATATATATATATATATATCCAAAGGATAAAACTGACTAAATATAATATATCTAAAATTATATATTACTAAAATAATATAATATTATTAATATAAATTATACACAAAAGCTATGAATTAATATAAAAGTTAAAGTAAATATCAATAAACATTATAATATATTTATTTTATAAATATTTATGCCCGTGCATGAGCACGGGAAAATCACCTAGTAATTGAATAATTAATCAATTTATTTTTTATAATTTCCATTTTTAAATTCATATATATATATATATATGTATAGCTTAAATAAGATTAATCCTAAGATAACAAATTTTACTGAAAATATAAGTATATATATTATCTTATAGTAAATATTCTAATACTTCTTATCAGATGATATTTATATTTTGAACTTATCTTGGTCTTTATATTTATTTATTTAGTTTGTTAAATAAAAGTAAAAAATATACTATAAACTAGTCTATAAAATAATACTTTGAATGCAGTTTAATGTTTAGATTTTTTAGTCAAATGAAAACATAAAGCAGATCCTTGACTATAAACTGATGGATTATTTACCAGATATACGGTGAGATGATCACAAAATTAATGATAATATTTACTGAGTATAAATGTAGTTCCAGCCCATCTTCACAGCAAACAAAATCAACAAGAAGAAACATAAACAATAATATCCCGATAAGTTTTTAAATATGAAGACGTGGGGATATGCTTGCTAGTAATTTTTCCCTTGTTGTTACAGCGCCAGTGGAAGGTAGGACCTACGTAGGTGGCGGTGTGACTAATCCGTGCTCAGGTCCTTATCCTCCTCCAGGATGCAATCCTCCAAATTCTCTTCATACGAATGTTCCTCCAGGTCCTAATCCCGCCAACAACTACACCCGTGGATGTTCCAAAATTACACGCTGCCAACGAGATATATGATATAAATTAAAAACTCATCATCTAAAGTCAGTCGTATGTATTTGCTTTACAATCAAATTTCTATAAATTATAAACTCATCATCTAAAATCAGTCGTATGTATTCTCACTCGAAGACACACAACACAATATTCACCTATTTCATTTCTTTCTAAAACACGATCTCCACCACTTTCATATTAACTGTTCTTCAGTTACAACATAAATTCAATTCATTAATCTCTTTACGAGCTATTTATGTTGCGTAACGTCTTTCAAACAACATTACATTCCATATGGAGCGAGAGGAATGTAAGACGTCACAGAGAAGCTCCTCAATCACCGGCACAGCTTATTCATTCATGAACAAGTTGGTGCGTAACATAATCTCTATTCTTACCGGAAGGTGGGATACACATTTTGACAAAGCAATGTCAAAGTGGTTTCTATTGATGCAAACGGGACACCACAATGGTACTGCAGAAAGTAAACCGAGAGACAAATACTACAAGAAAACTCTTATGCTTTATTAGAATCTCTTTTAAACAATCTATTACAAGATCTGCTTAATTTAGCTTTTACACGTCTAGTGTTAACACCCTAACACATGCTACTGAAAGATTCCTAAGCTATACCACTTATGTCTCTCCTCCGTCAAGTACTTCAGCCACTACTTCAGCACGACCCAGAAACACTTCCAAGAATTTTTCTCTCTCACTATAAGATTAGTCTCTGTGTCTCAGTATCTTTTTAGATGACCCCATAGTTATCTTATAGTTATTCTCCATATTCCTAAAACCCTAGTTTCCAAGGCTACATGTATGGACATCTTCAATATCCATAAGTGCAACTTTCCTTTTCTTGAAATGTACTTATTCCTCTTCCCTTAAGACATAAACTTTCTCTTCAAGTTTATTTCTCTTTCCATATTTCCAAGATACTCCCTTGCTCTCCAAGTCTACACGACTCCATCAGCATCTTGACTCCACATGGTCTTCACCACTCAACACGACGCCTGCTTCAGCAACTAAGTCATCGACTACTTCAGGGCAGAAATCTTACATCTTCAGTCTCCCCCTTTTAGCTTTGTGTGCTGATCAAGCAAAACCGTCTTCTGGTTCAACAACCAAGTTTCTTACTTGGAACCTTCCATGCTAAAAGTGCTTTTCTCCCCCACGAGATATGCAGCACACCATGCTTTTCTCTTCCATGAGATATGCATTCTCTTCCTCAGGACGTCCATACCAAATGTGCTTCTCCCCCATAAGATATGCATTCTTTGGACCAGAGCGTCACTTCTCCCCCTGCTTGATTGCATACTAAGCTAAAACACAGATGCTTAGATGTCAAGCCTTCCATCAAGATCTGATGCACCTGTCGAGCTACCTCTTGACTCAGTTCTGTTGAGGATCTGGCTTCTTTCATGTGTCGTCTTCTTAACCATGAGCACCTCCTCATCCACACCGAGTGTACTCTGCACTCGTTGCTATTGTCTTGGAGTGATTTCACTATCACCCTCCTGAAGATCATCTCGCATCACTTCCTGACGCACTTTGATCTCCTTCCCTTTTGTGCCACTAACAACCTTATGTCCAGGCTCCAGACTTGAAGCTTCTTCAAGATCACTCCTAACAGAGTTGCATCCTTCTTCTGATGTATCATCCTTGATCTTATCAAGTAATCTACTCTTGGCTAAGAACACCTCTTCAAACCTCTTGGGTTTCATGAACGTCTTGTTCACCTTCTTGGCCATGTTTATGCTCTTCTCACGAGCAAAACACTCCACCTTCTTGTGTCCAACTTTCCCACAGAACCAACAGCACATCCTATGTTGCTTTTTCTTGCGCCTGGCACAGTTGCGGATGCACCTATCAGTCTCCTTCCTTGTACCAGATGCACAACCATGCTTCAGATGCTCCTGTCTGACCTTCATGTTGCTGCATTGATGTACCACTTTCGGCTTATTACTCACAGCCACGCGCTGTAGAACTTCCTGTTGTACTCTTTGTCGCATGTCCCGACGTACTTCCTGATAAGCTTCTTTAGCCCTACTTTTTGATGTGCCCCTTTGGTCATTCAACTTGAAACAGTTACGCCGAATATATCCTTGAACTCCACAAGAATAACATGTTGGACCATGAGTCCTCATATCATATATTCTTTCAATCTGATGCTTCTTCCTCAATAGCCTGAAGCACTTTGGCCTAATATGTCTAATAACTCCACAATGATGACACACAGGTATGAAAGGTCGCTGAGATACATTATTTACCTCTGAAATTTTCCTTGTAGCAGACGATGAAGCAGTTCTTGCTGCAGTTGCAGTCTTCACTGCAGTCTTCACTGCAGTCTTTCCATATGAAGTAGTCTTTGCATACGTCTTAACTACTGGCTTCATTGCAGACATTAAAACACTCTCTCTTTTTCCTTTTTGAGTTTCACCAGGTTTAGCACAAGCTTGTCTTGTTTCTTCTTTTCCTACTTGCAAGTCCTTCTGTAGAACTTTGATATATGGTGTTTTTGACATCTTGTATATATGTTTTCTTAATTGTTTTCAAGTCTTTATCGAGTCTTTCTAGTTCTTTTTGAGTCATTACAGGACTGGAGTAGGTAAAGAGACCTCTGGAGAGACACATGAAGAAAATAATGAATATTGGAAATTTTCTGTCGCAGAGTACCCGAACGAAGCAACCCCCTGCCTGCTCCTTCTGCGCGAGAGCACCCTAACGGAGCAACCCTGCTTGCTCCCAAAAAATTATGGAAACTTCTAATTAATTTCAGGATTTACCCAAATCTTTCTATTTTCTTCTCCCAGCCACCTGTGGCCTTGAGAGACATATTCTATTTTTCCTAAAAATACTATGCTTCTATTGAGAGAGAAGAAACTTTAGAACTTTTGGATATTGTGATTTTGATACTTGTAAAGGGAGAAGATCATCTCTCTCGATTTAGAGAAGAATCCTCTGAACCCTATTTATATTTTATCTGCAATAATATTCATGTCTTCTTCATCTCTTGATTCTATGTGTTGGGGTCAAAATCGGTACGACGGAATCAATAGCCAAAATTCTCCGCAAACACATAAACGCAACAGTTTTATGAATCTCGAGAATCATTTTATAAAACTCGAGAGATCGTTTTATAAAACTCGAAGATCGTTTTATAAAACTCGAGAAGCCGTTTTATAAAACTCGAAGATAGTTTTATAAAACTCGAGGATCGTT